GTGTAGTCAGAACAATGTCAACAAACCCAGTCCGATGAAGTCCTAACAAATGAAATGTGTCACAAATAAATTTTTTCCATTTTGTCTTACAATTCCCTTAATACTGTTCTTGATATATAAAAACAGATATTGTTATCTCATATATATATTAGACATAGTGACTCCTTTATCTTGTACTATATGAGTTTTCCCTTTGAAAACGCCATGACTACAGCTTCTAGAATATGGTGTAGGTTGCTGAAGCAGCAATGAGTATTGTTCTACATGAATTTATTCAAACATATATAGAAAGATGGTAGCTCAATAGGTAATATTGTAATTCCGCAAATTGATTGATTTACACTTAGACTTTTGTCCTCATCTTTGTTGTTATTATCACATCATGTTGCCTGTTATTTCCTTTGGCCATCATCAGGTACTTGTCAATCCAGGATAATAGCCTGGAGGAATAAAGTATTGGTTCATGAATTGGATGACATAGTAATTGTAAGTTCAATCTCTGGGATAGGTAATGTAGACAGACACAGTGAAAACAGAGCAAGCAATAACTATGCAATACTAAAATAAAAACTAGACAAGATATCCCTAAGACATGGTTGTCAGAATGAGAACAATCTCCTGTCATTGATTGAACAAAGGGTTCAGTTTGAAATACCTTTACGGTTACCTGGATTGACAAGCGTCTGATAAAGGTTGGAGAGTACAATGACTGAAATGATATGCTAATAGCAACAAAGATGATGACAATAGTCTGAGTGTAAATAATGATAACTTCTTATGCCAGAAATTCAGACAGAAAAGCAATGAGTTATGTACTTTGAGCAATTATATCATCATTCTTTTGGAACATTTTCTTAGTTTTGTTGCTTTTATCACATTCCAATATGAAGCTGTAGTCACTAAAATATCACAATAAAAATAACTAAGACAAAGAATTGGTCTGAAATAATCAAGATATAATAGTAACATCTCATCAGAAATTTAAATTATTTTGATCCAGTTATGTTGATTCACTAAATTTGAGCCCATTGCATTCATTTAGATTTTTGATCTGAATGTATCAACTCAGCTTTAGTTCAGTTCATTTGATCTAGCCAGTGTCGAGTCTGGTTAGTATTTAGATGGGGGACCACTTAGGAGCACCTGGTACTGTAAGGAACCTCCTACAATGTGAAATATATTTTGGCTTTAAATAACCCACAAAAGTTGATAAGCTCTAAAAATAAAATTGATTGATTTTATCTAGCTACTTTGACCTTAATATTTAAGCACAGTTTATTCACTTGCACTGAATATTTTCATGCACATATTTTGATCTGTCATTGTATTTTGATTTAATTTTGGCTCAACTGTTTGTTTTGTTTGAAACAATTTCTGCTTTTGGCTGAACTAGTTCAAGTAGTTCACCTTGATTCTATTCTTTTTATTAAAATGTTTTATATTTACTTCTTGATTTTAACTTTGAGCTTAACTGATTATTTTCGCTAGTTTCGTTCAGTTGATCTATTCATTTATGTTTATTCTATTTCTTTTATCTGAATGCTTTAGTCTCCTCCGTTTTTCCTGCCTTGAATTACTTAATCTGATTAGAGTCTATTTTAATGATTTTGATTCAACTATATTCATTTGAGTGATTTAATCTAATCATCGTGTTTCAATTTTGATTCCATCATAATGGTATATTGTCTTCATGCAAAGTCACACTATATCTGTATAGTCAGTGGTGTAGCTAGAGTATGTTGTACCTGTGGCAGTGTGTGTACCACCCCGGGAAACCTTTGAGTTGGCTGCCCCTCCAAAAATACAACATATTGCACAGTGACTCCTCTTCACATATATATATATATATATATATATATATGTGACTCCTCTTCATACACACATATATATATATATATATATATATATATATATATATATATATATATATATATATATATATATATTAATAGGCACAAATAGAGCAATGCATACCCTCAAATGAAGGAAAATAGCTAAGATGTGTCTCCCATACACAGTGGTGCTATGGCATTAAAAGAAAGCACCCAGGGTTCATTCACAAGTTTTGCACTATCAACAATGATAAAATTCATCACTGGATTATATTTATTGTTCAGCCAAGATAAAAACTATTTAAATACATATTCATTAGCTTAAGTTACTTGAAATTGAAAAGTTCCTTAAAATGTGAGTAGTGTCCTGACATTAAAACTACTTTTACTTCTATACAGTCTATACAATCTTGTATAGAAGTCCCCAAAGTGCTGCCCCCATAAAAGTGCTACCTACATAAAAGTGTTACCCAAGGTGAACTGCCTCACTCAACCCCCTTTAGCTACACTACTGAATACAGTTGGACTCCTTTCTTTAGAATCAGAAGAATACTGAACGTTCTTTTGCAAAGTAATGGATAACAAAATAACTTCTAAATTCTGTAACAAATTCAGTCTTATTGCATTTTCTGAAGTAAATAGTAATTTATTGGCCACTTCTTTAGATGAACTACAAAGAATTTTAATCTCTATTTTAGAGCAATCAATGAATAGAGTCATTTATTGGTTATAAATTTATTGGTTTATTGTGCTATAAATCCTTATAGCAGAATAAAATATTGATGCCAGTTTCTTTTGGATCAACTACTTGATAGTTATTTGTAGGTTACTTCCTTATAGGATAATAAAAATATTGATGCCAGTTTCTTTTGGATCAACAACTTGATAGTTATTTGTAGATTACTTCCTTATATGATAATAAAAATACTGCTGTTTATCTTGGATCAACTAATTGGTCAAACTCAAATAAATCTTAAGTTTCTACGAATAAAGAAAGTATGTTGTGGGTGGGAGTGATATTTAGAAACTACTCTGTGTTAAAAATAAAAATAAAATCTATTCAATATATCAAAACTAACAGGTTTTTAAAAGCTTAATGATTACCTTGCATTCCAGAGGCATATCTATGGAAAGTAGTGACCATGGCAAGGAATTAAAAATTACGCTCCTCTCTTAACATCTGATACTCTACCAAAACCTCAGGATGCCATCTCCCCAGGCAGTACCTCTCTTTCAGGAGGAGGCTGGGGTCATTATCCAGCACCTCAGACATTTTCCAAGAGAGGAAGTGCCAAGAGGGCTTGAGTAATTTTTCTACAGTTTTGATGAAAACCCACATTAAACTCTGACCTCATGTCACAATTTGTTGCGACGTGGGTACACTGATCAATACCTACCATACTAAAGTGCAAAGTAGACCTACAAGTTCAAAAATATAAGTGAAGACCATTAAATTATGGTACTTCAACAAGAAGGCAATCTATTTGTCATATTTTTATTTGAAGCGAATTTAAAGTTTGACAAGATCATGGTACCACAGAAACATATTCTTATGAAATTATGGCAACACATTTTTCAGAAGATTTTTTAAAGTACATAACCTCAGACTGTACAAAAACAATTTAAGTGTTCTTCAATTCTTAACTGAAAAAAAAATATGATATAATGGCACCAGAAGAAGATAAACTTTTAATATATTAAGTAGGCATCTGTTTATCTCACAAGGTAAAAGGTAGCACTCTGTTTGGTCAAAATTCAGTTATTTGGAGGGGAGACTGGAGTGACCTCTCCAGGATGCAGACCTGGGCAATGCTATATGGAGGCCATGAGCTGTCCAGAATAAATGCCCCCTCTTGGTCATACCGACAATATACAAAGAAATACTAGGCATTACATTTGGGGTCTGGCTTGGCTGTAGGAATTGCCAGAAAGTTATCAGTGTTGACAGCCAACCACCTTCTAATTAACACATTATGACACAACAAAATCATCTTTTAGCATTTCAGTATCAATGAAATGCTCCATGAGAAGGTGAATATTTTTAATAATCTTTTAAATTTTCCATTGAGAAATTATGAAAGTATAATACTACCGTAAGAAGATATAATTTTACTAAGTTCTTGCAACAGAACTTCAAGATAGGCAAGTGAAAGCAAGGAACTAAGAAAGATAACTCTTAAGCCTAAAACTGCATCTTTGCTTTTCATTGATGCAAGTTTATTAATCATGTTTTTAAATTCAATATTTTCAGCTTTCTGTCTCTCCATAGCTGTGATAGGTCATACAATCAGCTTGGCCCATGGCTGTTCTCAAATGAGACAAAGTTAACTTCAGCTTACTGAAAGATCACTTGCTATGGAAATTGTGATTGTTAGCATAATTTGAACGTCAATACGAAGATTTGGGAACAAACATTCATCCCCATATTGAACAATAAATTTTAGAATCTCTTCAGGTGTTGATAATTTGATATTGGCTCAACTTGATAGCAATATTCTACAATCTCAAATGTTATCAGATGATTTAGTACTTAATGCTGATTAATCAATATTACACTACAGACTTTTTGTTCAGTGTTGTTGTGTGCTCCCTCAAGTGGTTCCCATAGTATGTGTCCTACTTACCATGCCATAGATATGCCACTGCTGCATTGTCATAATAGTTTTAATTATAATTATCAGATTTATATATCCCAGCATGTTATGCTATATTTAACTCTCCCACCACCACAACAAAAGACTAAAAAATATCACCTGAGTCACATATTCAAAGTTGGAATGCTAATATTTTCTAATATGTATGCAGATACCTTAGACATAGCCCAACTGTATAATATAGCAATATTAAATGTGAATAGTGTTAAGGGTTTTATATGCCTTCAAATATATTACTATTGACTAGGGTTGCAACACTGGGCTACAAGTAATGAATTGGGATATAACTGAACGCCCAGCATGGCTAAATTTTGAATTGAATTTCTTACTATTATTAAAGCAAATTAGCTCAACTTATTTTAAAAGTAGCCCCAAAAGTTGCATGTAGGGAAATTCAAAATTTAGAAGGGTTGGGCTTTAAAAAGTTACCCAATCTAGCAACACTGCTTTTGACTATTTGTTCTGTTTTAATTTCGGAAATAATAATTTGATTGGCATGATCTTCTTTGCACAGGGGAAGTTTAATTGTCAAAGCAGAAACCATTATGGAAAATGTTCCAGTCATGGAGGACATGTGGATCTGAAAAAACACCAAAAACATGGTAAGAAAATGTTAACCAGCAATAGAAGTTTATGTACTCTAAAGTGTGAAGCTGATATTCTGCATGAAACAGGTTTGAAGCAAGACAAAAAAAAAAAAAAACGGTTATTCATACCATTTTTGTTTGGTTCTGAGCTATTGTGCATTTTGAAAGTATTGTAATTGACAATGTCTGGGATTTATTTCAAGAGGCTAGTTACTATTCCTAAAATGCTTAAACTGGGTTTGAGGAGTATGGCCAGATATTGGTTCACTTAGCTTCTTAAATTCTGTGAAAAGCTTCATGTCCAGTTTATAAGGACACCTTGAAATGGCAAAAATGCTAATTTTAGTACCTGCCATTCTAACATTTTAACAAAAGTATAATACTGACTAGTATTAATAATAATAATAATTAATAATAATAATCCTTTGAAATGTCTACGTTTAGACTGACCAATCAGACGTAATTGTGAAAAATCATGTTAAAAACACATGTCTTCTGATAGATGTTGCAGCTCCAGTAGACTAAAATGCAAGTTTGAAAATGTTTGAGAATCTAAGTAAATATATGGACCTTGAGATAGAAATCAGTAGAATATGACATATCAAGACAACAATATTACCTGTTGGTACTGGGGTTTTGGGAATGATATCAAAAGTAGGAAGCAATTATGTTGATCAAATACCTGGTTGCACTAAAATATTTGAATCGCAAAAAAAATCACAATCATGAGTATTTCTTACATCTTGCATAGCTTTCTCTCCATGCAGCGACCACAGTTACATTTTTTTCTCTCTTGCACCTTATCTGTTAGCATCTTTTGATACAGAAAAACTTATCCTCTTGTAGTCTCTAGTTGAGACTTGGGGTCAACTTGTACTACACAAACCTAAATCAAAAACATAATAATAATAAACTGAGCTTCTTCTGTTTGCAATAGCTTGAATTCTGAGAAAGGTTTTATCAATGTAGAGAGTTAAAGCAATAACAGGAGCCTTGATCATTTATGATCTGTTCCTGATCATTAAATTAGTGCATAAGATCTGCTTGAGAAAATGAAGATAATAATAATATTGCTGGCGTATATGTATAGTTAATAATATATACATATATAAAAAATAAGTATATTTGTGCCCCAGTGTTACTTTGTTGGTGTATGGTTCATTGACATGATGATTATGTTATAGACAAGCAGGAAAGAAATACGACAACAGCAGAGTTACGTGATTTATTTCAATAGGAACGTGTGGGTTTGGGACAGCTACCTTGTGGTATAGTTCATAAACCAGCTGCTGATCTGGGTTGATCTCTCATAGTAGTTCTCACTGGTTGGCGTGGCGCTCCTCCTGCTGCTGACTGCCCAGACTGACCATGACAGATCTCTTCCCTGACCTCCTGTTGACTGCTAGTACTTCCCCGTGTGACCCCTTTTATGGCGTTTTTTATGGCTTAACAGGCTTAAAAAACAACACGAGTATAATTAGAAGGGAAGCATTTTTATTGGTCGAAAAATAGAAACACTTTAAAATATTTTATTTTTTGACTGGAACTCGTGCGTCAGGCCTATGCATAAACGACGATAATGGTCATTTTGTGACAGGGCCTTATCCCGTTCACATCCGGGTCTCGCTTTTGAGTATGTTAGTTTGTTTGCCTGCAATGTCAGGCACTAGTGACTCTCCCACCCTTCAGGTTGCTTCCCTCATCCACAAAGAGACATTCTGCGTAGATCCTTTATATTGACAATACAAAGTATTTTATTTTAACACATCTTGTCTCCTTTTCTTTACACCTCACTTACAGTACTTTGTTTTTATTTGTTCTTTTGCAACCATATGCAGTATATAACAGGAGTCACACCCTAAATTGGAGCCTGTCTGAATGGACTGAGTTAGACTAACTGAAATGCACTTGCATGGTTATGCATTGCTTTTATCAAAACTTGTCACCATGTTATGCATGTAGCTGGTATGCACTTATTAGACTGGCTGTCATTATTGGTATATTAGGGTCCATATATTTGTACCCCAGCATTACTGTGTTGGTGTAATGCTCTCTCACTCAGTAACAATAATAATAATATGATCCAAGTTGAGATTCCCAACCTCCCCAGTTTGTTTCGGCCCCTTTTTATCTCGACTAGGCCAGCTTTTTATTTCTCATGTCTGTATATTTTTCTTCTTTCCTACTCCCTTAGTGAGAGAGCTTCTTGATTTTGTCCAAGGGGCAGAATACAGTGGCCTCTCTTTTTTGAGAGTTGGGTGGGCCCTTCTAACATCAGTTATGTTTAGTTTACTTTGTGTTTATATTTAGTTTGTTTTGTGGTTCATTCCCTCCCCTCTCATTCTATTCATCCATAAATTTTTAAAGTATATATTTTATAATCATTTGATTTTTATGGCATGGGGCGCGTTTTGTAGGTTCCCCTTGAGAGGATGCAGTTTTATGGTGTATGGAGGATTGAATGGTAACGGGCGAGTTCTTATGGTGAATGTAGAAATTGTAATGTGTGAATGGGTCGTGAGTCAGATTAGCTAGGTATAAGATAGTTAGTGATGACCAGCCTCAACCCCTCCCCATTTTGGCCTTGTGCCGCAATTGTATTGTAAATACAATAAATAATAATAATAATAATATAGTCATATACAGTATTTAGATGTGGACATGAAATAAGCTTTGGAGTATGTTTCAACCTAGGGAAGATTACTGAATAGAATAATCACATGAAGGTTGGTAATGAATGATAATACTTAGGACAACACATATAAGATTTGTCAGCATCACGTAGAAGAAGTAGTCAACTGCTAGAAGTGAGTCAACTGCTAGAAGTGAGTCAAGTGAATTCCACTATGAATCTCCAACTGCAGACCAACATACAGCATTTACTACTGTATTTTTGTGAATGGGGACATACCCATTATTGTCCGTGGGTATGCTACAAAATAAGAGTAAAATTTTATAAAAGATGAAGATTATTTTTGATACACTTTAATAGTTAATTTTTAATTTCTTCATGGTTATATGGAACTCTTTGTTTATTTCAAATAAGTCAAAGTATTTTAAATAATCATAATTTTTTTATAATGATCATATTTTGATCAGTTGCCAGTTTGACTTTATTGAACTGATCAGACTTACCATCAAGACAGGAGTAAATAGTTGTCATCAGCATAGATATTGAATTGAGAGATGGTGCTTTTGCTATGTACTTAGAAGTTCTTGATAAAATACAAAGAAGAATCTGCAATGTTATTGATCTTAACCTGGCATCTTGGCTTCAGTCACTTTCCCACTTCCATAACATAGCTTCCCTGTACTTTTTTATGAATATTTTCATGGTAATTGTCCTGATCAGCTTTCTATTTTGGTACCAAGACTTCATGAATTTAAGCAGCAAGGTCTCATCATTTTACAGTTAAAATTATAACCGTAACTGTAAGTTCTATGTTAACATTTTCTTCTCTTGCACTTCTCGCTTGTGGAACTTTCTTTTGTCTTCTTGCTTCCCAATCAACTTTGATGTTCAAAAATTTAAATGCAATGTCAATTGCTATCTTCTGTCTAATTAATTCCTGTTCTAGTATTGTTTGCTCTCCTTAATAGTATTTTTCTTTTTCTCATAATTGCCTTTAACACTCAGTAACCCCTTGCATCTTAGTTTCTTTATTGCCCTAATTTAATTTTTCAGTTCATTACTTCAATTAGTTTTGATGATTTAATCATGTTAAATTAATTTTGAAAAGTATTCAAATGAGATTATTACTCTATCATTAATTTTACTATTTGCAATTAAGTTCAGTTAATATTAATATCAATATGGAGTGTTGTTAAATATTAAAAGAATTATTAAAAAGTCAGGTATAATATTTGAATATTTTAACAGAAACAAATTTAATTTTTAATAATCCTATGTCATTACATTAATCCACATATACAGGGTGCGATGGATAAATTGTCGTCATTTTATATTTCTAATTCCCTGTATGGGAATTGTTTGTTTTTGATTTTGTTGACTGCACAGTATAGTAGGGTCAGCTGGACACTGTCTGCGAGAAAAAAAGAGTCCCATGATGCAATTCACTTTGCCAGAAATTTGGAAACGGCATATTGTAATGTTTAGCATTCACATGGGAAACTCCAATATGAACATTTCAGAGGGTTTGGGTGTCAATCTGAGGACAGTGCATAGGATTCAGAAAGAGTTGGATGATATATCCAGTCAACAACATGATGTTTGGAGTGATCACTAGTGTTGGTGATGTTATGCCTCCATTCATCTTTCCACAGGACCTCAGACCCAACATGGAGGCCTAAATCAAGTGCCTTGAGGAGGTAATGCTGCCCTGGGTCAAGTGGGTGGCTGCTGGAAGACCCTATGTCTGGCAACAGAACTCTGCATCATGTCAGTGAAGCAGGAGAACCCAGTCATGGCTGTCAGACAATTTCTGCGGCCACATCACCCCTTACATCTGGCCACCTCACTCCCCAGACAGTATAAAACCCCTTGATTATGTGTGTGGGGCACAGTTGAGTGAGAAACCAACAAAACTCCTTGTAAAGCCAAAGATGAACTGAAGGCAAGGATTATAGCAGCTTTCACCAACTTAAACAAGGAGATTGTTTAGAAGAGTTGCAGGAGATTCCAAGAGATATTGTGAGTATAACAACCAAAGTGAGCATACTCCTCTTAATAGAAAGGCATGTAATACAGCTCTTGATAGTTTATTAGTACAATGTATTGACAAAATTGCTTAAATATTTTCTGTCTGAATTTCTGGGATGAGGAGTTATCATTATTTACATTTGGACTAATATCCTCATTTTTCTTATTATCACAATATTTTGGCTGTTTTTTTTTTTTTTTACAGTAAGGTTCATCCTGTATAAGGCCTGGGGGCAACTCAAGGTAGAGGGTTACATTAAGGAGTAGTTTATATGGATAGGGGGGGGAGATAATGGTTAACTTTAGACTTGAACAGGTTAAGATTGTGATTGGGAAAACATCCTCTTGGGAGTCAGTTCCACAAAGCTGTGGTTTTCGGGAAGAAGCTGTTTGAGTGGAACTTACTTCTTGCTGATGGAATACTGAGGGAATGAGGGTGGTTTGCTAGTTTGTAAGTGGTATGGTGGGTTCTAGCCGTGAATGTAGACCTGGCGGAACCAAGTAATGTAGTTCATCCAAGTGTGGACTCCTTCAAGCATCTGTCGATCTGAGTAACCTCCAAGGAATTTGAAGCCTTTATTTAATCTAAGGGAGTAGATTGTTTTTGTGCTGCTGTCAATGTTTAGGTATATTTTGTCTTGTTCTTAAGAAATTGCTCAATCTGTGTCCAGTCAGTCTGTCTGTATTATCTGCATGGATTGAAATTACAATGACTATAAAATCAAAGTCAGGAAGCAATTTTAATCCACTAGGCTATTGTCCTGTGGGATGATCCTTTACCTAGAACTTGGATTCCTAAACCATATTGCCTGCCTGCTGCCACCCAAGTCATGTTTGACATCTTTCACTGCTTTTTGTTTTCTTAAAGCTGCTGCTAAAGTCTTGCTATTGTTTCTGTTTCATTCTTTATTAATGGTTCTCATATGGTATTTATTTCTATGCTAAGTCTACTGATGAGGCCATCATTCTTAAATAATACTTTTATTCTTTTTTTACAGCATGGATAAACTAGTTATTATTGTATTATCTCAGCCATTAAAGATATATGTAAAATGAACAGAGAAAATTAAGCTTATAAATTTTAATAAGTTTCAATACTTACACATTTATTGCATGTTCTAAATTATTTGCTTTTATGTTTCAGTAAATACTAACCAGGATAGAGTTGCATGTAACAAATCTGTGGTAAGTGTCATTATTTTTATAGTTTTGTTTTTTCTAGTCAGTGTTTCTAGAGAAACAGATTATTTAATTTCTATATTGTGAATCTTTGTCATCTTGCCACATGAAGGCTATTAGAGTTAACTAGATTAATACTACATTTGATAGCATATAAAACTCCCCTAATTCCTACTTCTTTATCTCACAAAGTATATATAATCAAGGGTGATTTTTATTTTTCATTTATAAAAATAAAAATCATCCTTGCTAAAAGAATAGTCAAAAGTGCTTGGATATGCAGAACTTTTGGATAGTTTTTACACACTTTGTGTCCAGAAAAGAAAACACTTGTATGAACACAAGAAAAATTAAATAAAAAGCTTAATTGCAGTAGCTTGTCAGTCATCTTTAACGAAACATATATATATATATATATATATACTATTTACATTTTTCAGACTATTGCCCTCATCTTTGTCGCCATATTTATTACAATGTTTCAGCCATTGTACACTCTGGCCTTCTTCAGGTGGTTGGAATGTCGAACTGAACCCTTTATTTCGCTCACTGGGGTAGACTGTTCTAGTTCCACGTGTCATGTCTAAAGGATGTCAGTTATCAGTTATCTCCTGTTAATTCCCTTTTCCAAGTCCTCCACCACCTCAACCAGGTATTGAACTCACACTCTTTGGGTCCTGTCACTGGATATAACTAACACCTTTATTCACTGTGCCATGTGTCCTCAAGGACAAAGAGTATGAGTTCACAAAGTTCACAAATCTTGCTACCTATAATGCACCATTGAATAACATATATAGTCATGCTAAAACACATGGCCTAAAGATTGCATTCAAGGATAAAGCAGACTGTTGTCATTCAGTGTTGACACACACACACACACACACACACACACACACACACACACACACACACACCCCTTGTGCAAATTAATTGAAACAACTGCTTTAGTTTCTTTTCTTTCACCATATGGTCAGTTTGAGATTCACTGGAGTGACAGGGTGTAATCGATTTCTATTTTCTCCTCAGATTAGGTGTGCAGTAATATTCTATTTTCAGGGTGTATGATGAAATTTGTTTGGCCTTGAAAAATATTGCATCATCTGTGATTGCATCAGACTTTTATCATGCCCAGACATTTTGTCTTGACTTTGGAGATGTATGATGAAATTTCTTTGGCCTTTTGTCTGGCGTTTCATTGCATCATCTGTCCATCAAACATGATTGCATCAGAACTTTTAAAGGGTTCAGTTCGATGAAGAAGGCGGGAGCGTACAACGCCCAATACATTACTGTCTTGACTGTCGATTAGTTGTCCTATGGCCATTGTCTGTGATGGACATTACTCCAAGGAAGTGTATGAAAATTGTAATGCTGCAAGAATAGACTGGTAAGCCTTACCAGTGAGCAAATCAAAGTACTAGACTGGCCTGAAAATTCTCCTGATTTAAATCTAATTGAGGATTTGTGGTCAATCTGCAAGGAACGACTTCATGGAATGGACATACAAAGTACTAACATGTGCACTGTGTCATATTTTATTGGAAAAATATGAAAAAAAGTAAATAATAATGGAATTATTCATTTTGTTTCAATTAGTTTGCACAAGGGTGTGTGTGTGTGTGTGTATACACACACATACACACACCATGGAATAGAGTATGTACTTATTTATTAAAGAAAAACAATCACAATGATATTGCTGTGAAATAATTAAAATATCTCTGAATAACCACTTGTGTCACATCAGAATGTAAAGACCTTTTATTCTTTGTTACCTTTTCTTTAGAGGACTGCTTGTGATGTCCATAAGCCTAATTCTGCAACATCTTCACTTGCTACCCGGACAAAAGACTATTGGAGTGATTCATCTTCACCTCGGACACGGACGGAAAACTGGAAATGCAACTCTCGCGTCGATGATGAACAGAATGGTATCTTCAAGTCCTTGACTATTGAATCTGTTTCAACCGACAGGACAATGCCATCAGACCAGTGGGCAATGAGTGCTAATTCCACTGGTTGTAAAGGACATCAATTTTCCGAAAACAGAACTGAACAGAATCAGGGAGCAGAACACACAAAAAGACATGGAAATGGTATCACCTCTGATTGTAATTTTAACAAAATTAATAATATATTAGCATAACATTAGGAAAAATGACTGAATATCATCTTCATTATCTGCTGATGGTTTTGTCTGAATAATATATAAATGTAATAATATATTAGGGTGTTCAGAAAGTAATTATATATTTCACTGTTATGAATTATGAGTCAAACAACCAAGGCAGAATGATAGAAAACTGCATCTAGAATTAGTTTATCATCTCTCCCATCAGATATTGTTTTCTTTATAGTGCAATTACAAGCTTAATTGGGAAAACTTGCAAAGAGGGAGTTTGAGTTCCTAATGAGCTTTCAATTGAGAAATGAGCACAAAGTTCCAACATTTGAAGCAATCTTTTAACTAGGAATGACTACTTTTCATTTTTGCATCACATTGTTAAGGTGATGAAAAATGGGTTTTGCATGTCAACCAAAAATGAAAAAGACAATAGTTATCATAAAATTAGAAACTAGTGCTAGCACCAAAACCAGGACTCCATCCACAGAAGTCCTTGCACTGTGACTGGTGGAATATGAAAGGTGTTGTACATTGTGAGCGACTTTAACATGGAACGACCATCACTACAGATGTTTATTGCAAGTAATTTGATCAGGTAAACAAAGTATTAGGTTGATAATGTCCAGCTTTGGTAAAAAGGAGAGGTGCTATTCTCCAGTATATCAATGTAAGGGCACAGTTTGTAAAATAAGGAGTAAATAATTTTTTTAGGATGGGTAGTTTTCAACATCATCTATACTCACCAGATTTAGCACCTACACATAATCTTTCAAACATTTTTGTAGGGAAAAAAACCCAGATTTCCTTTAAACATGAAATTAAAAAATTGCCTCAAAAATTTCATTGAAATTGATGGTGATTAGATTTTTGATAAATAATGATTAAATAAATTTAACTTACATTTGTTTTTCTATACTTTCTGGTAAAAAGTAATTACTTTCTGAACACCCTAATGTTTTAGTTTGTTTCATTTTATCTGTAAATGAACATGTTGTATCTGACAAATGCTTAATTTCACTTCAAATGTTCTTCTATGTTTCTGTATCTATTCAGTAAATAAGTGATCATGGCTCTCTACAATTTCCAATCTTGTGTGGCCCTTAGCAGTTTTTCTCCCTTTGCTAAGGCTCCTTCCCCCTGTTCCACCATCCATTCACACAAGCTTGTCAGGTAGGCAGCTTGCTGCTTTTTCCTATCTCTCTTGCTCTCAATATGCCTTGTGAGGGTTAAGTTTTCCAGGTTCTCCTTCCTCATTATGTGGAATTTCAGCTATCTTTTTCTGATTCTGTGTTCTTTCTGTTGCCATTTTCTTTAAGATTTTTTTGTTACTTACTCACTGCATCGATGGAATTCTCAGTATCCTTCTGTACAATCACATTTCTGCTGCCACCAGTTTTTTCCTCATCTGTGGAGAGATTGTCCAACATTCACTGCCATATAGGAGGATGGATAACATATAGAAATCCAGCATTTTTTATTTCTAACGAAACTTTTCTGTTTCTCAGCACTTTGCTTAGCTCTTGGAATGCTTATTTTGCTAGTCCATTGCTTGTTTGAATCTTAATGTGGCATTTTCCATATGTTACTTTTTGTAATTTTCAAGAATAGTTCTTGATATATTTGGAAAATAATACCATGTTTTTGCAAATGCACTAAAACCTTGTTCAAAGTTGCTCAAGCTGACTATATTTGTGCTGTTTGGAAGTAAAATTCTGGTAGCTATTTCTTATGATGATCTGCAAAATATAAGAAAATTGTCAAATGGAACAAAATAAAGTAGCTTCTGATAATGTAAATCTCTCTCAGCTTCTCACCAACAAGACAAATAATCTCATGTATCTCTATTCTCATTCATGTTGGTGTGCACAAAAACTGGAAAATGTCCACTGTATGTTCACAATGAACTGTATTGAAACAAAGTTAAAAAGTTTCCTGAGTATATACATTTTCCTTTAGGTTCTGAAATGATTTATGGGAAGCAAGGATACAAACAGGTAAACATGGTTGAGTTCAAGTCAGCCATGCACTGAGTTGGGAAGACCAAGTATGTCTGTTTTTCTTTTTGGTTCTGAAATAATTCATGGAAAGCAAGGATACAAATGGATAAACATGGTCGAGCTCAAGTCAGCTCTGCACTGGGTAGGGCTGCTAAAATATGTCCAATGATGTTGTTGGTAAGTTGAAAGAGTTCAGTCGTCAGTTCACTGGGGAAACTAACATTCCTCAGTGGGAAAGCTATTACTGCATGGTTCACATCTTGAAGCCAAGAGGAGAAAGAGAAAGATTCTGTCCTTGCCAGAAGTAGTGTCATAAAATCATGCATGTGATCACATACCCTTTTCAGCTTCTTTATAACTTGCACCATAGAAAAATTAATTAGAATTTTTTAATTGTTATTATTATTTTATTTATTGTTTTTATTTAATTTCCCCCACACTGTCATGACAGACTAAGAATCAGCTTTTCCTTTTAACTAGCAAGAACTCTGATTCCTCCTATCACCCCACTGCCCATCTTTACATCACAATCCATAGCCAGCAATGCTAACAAGTGGCATTGGAACTAGCACAATGGACAACTTGAACAGGCAGCCTAGAACTAACTCTCAATTCTAACTTTGACTATATAAGCCTATGAATGTAAATTGCTAATGTTCAATCAAGTGCCACTTGTCCCCAAAGGTTTTCATTTATTTATATATTATTTTATTCCCACTTGGTCAAGTGTGTGGCTGCTTCAATGATCCAATCTTGCAGACTTTACTGTTTGTCATAAAAAACATAAAAATCTTTGACAATCCACTTTTAGGAGGGCATCCTGATCACAGCCGAGATTTGTCATGTCACATTGAAACTTCAAATTATATCCTACACCTTGGGATCCTGTCTTTCATGGAAATGTCATTAACCGTTTTGGCCACAGAGGCTTTAAAGATTTAGCACCAGCTGTCGTCATTCTTCCACCACTTTCTCTTTGACTCTCTATATCAGTTTTGACTTACTAGTTTGGTTGTTAGAATATAGACTTTTTGACTTGTTTTTAGGTAAATGATTTTATATTTAGACACATGCAGATATATCTCAGTGATTAGAGCATTTAAAAAAGACTTTTGCAAATCTTTTTTTCTTTTTTTATTTGCTCTTGCTTGCAGAACATGATTCTTGCAGACATTCCAAATAAGCCCATCACCATTCTGCATGTGCTTAATAATTCTGTCTTGTCTTTGGCACCAGATTCTAGAAATTATTTTAAGCTAGAAATAGTGTACTGCTATCTATCCTAGGTAGAAATTAGGTTACCTAAGATGTAGATTAATATTTTTAAGTTGACTGCAACCTGTTCTGACAATAATCCAGCTGTTTAAAATAGAAGACAAAATGTCTGTGTCATGAAATGTGATTTCCTTTATATTTTCTGAGTCCAATGGTTGTTTAGTCATTAATCTTGCATATCATATTCTGCCTCTCCCCTTACCACTTGGGCACATGTATACTATCTATGCTTTAGCTATGCTAATTAGGCAATCATTTACATATCACCATAGTCTGCATATTTATACTTCTAGGATATGACTGACAAAAGTCAGTCAGTTATGTGCCATGTGTGATACACACTGTTATGATGTTAATTTGGGGTTAATAAAGACAAACGCCAAATAACATGTAACAATAAAATGGGGTTTATTCGGTTGGTAAGTTGGTACAGATATCGCCTGAGTAGTCTATAACTAACTCAGCTCAGAACTTCTTCGACACTGTCTTTTTACATGCCACTCTTTTACGACCTTGTTTGTAGATGAGTTCATCTTCAAGAGGGGTGGTAGGTTCCTACACAACACACACTTAGGTGATCATGTATCTTTTGATACATGACTGACGAGGTAGATTTTTTCCCCGCAGAAGGTTGCCATTTCTTTCTGTGGCAGACCAGTTGCCATCCAAGGCTATAGAACCTAATCTGTCCTGCTATTTACCCATAGCTGGTGGGAGAAGAAGAGGATTCATACCTTTCCCAAGGGTATTAGGGGTTGGCGGTTATTTAGTAATTTATTTATTGCTATCACTACAAACTAATCGGCAAGCAGTGGATTGATAAACAGTAAAAGCAATGTTTGATTTTATAGCTTCATTATTTTAAACTAGGGTACCTGTTGTGCCATCAATATTGATGGCAAGAAGGAATGTATTATATGTTGTCAGTAATTTTCGTTTAATCTAAGTAAATTTTGTAATTTAAAATAGTTTGTTGTTAACGTTAATAATAAATGTCAGTCAGTCAGTTATGTGCCATATGTGATAGATGCTTTAGGCAATTATCTTTTAATACATGACTGACAAGGCAAATTTTTTTCCCCACAGTAGGTTGTCATTTCTTTCTGTGGTAGACCAGTTACCAACCAAGGCTATAGAACCTTGTCTGTCTTGCTATGTACCCATAGCTGGGGGTGAGGTGGGGGTTGAGAAGAATAGGATTGATACGTTTCCCAAGGGCATTAACATGTAAGTGAATGTAATGGATTCAACTGGAATTTGAACTCTATGTATTATAATGTTATCTTGACTTTACTACTAGATGAAGCATTATCAGCCAGTATTTTTCATCTTAATTTTAATTGTTTACTTTGGAGAGTTTCATTATTTCTGATCTATGGTGTCTATTAATGGCTGTAGTTGCAATGAAAATAGCTAAAATTAAGATTGGTTGATGAATTTTAATACTTGTCAACCCTCATTGGGTTATTTAATTTTTGTATGGGCCACCTAGTGAGAATTGAACTCACTAATCAGAGGTAATCTTCTATGTGCCATGTGTCTTCAGGACATGAGCAATCATGACTCTCCACAACTTTCTGCCCTTTCTAGCACTTAGCAGTGTTTGTCCTTTTGCTATCTCTTCTAATCACTGTTCTGCCAACCATTTACTCAAGCTCATTAGCTAGGTTATTCTCTGCTTTTCTTTCTCCATCTTGCA